TGGGGAGGTGGGGGTGGCGGAGAGGATCTGGGGGCCTACAGTAGCTGGGGGAGGTGGCTGGGCTCAGAGGGAAAGGCAAGCTGAGGCAATGCTGCCATCTCCTGGTCCCACCTGCCTGGCTCAGCCCCCACCAGCATTTTACCAAGCCCAAAGCCCACCTGGAAACAGACACTGGGCTGTCCTTTAGAGGCCAGTGCAACAGATGGGAGCGTGACCTGCGCCACTTTGGTGGCAGCACCCCTTGTCCCCACAGATGTAAGGCAGGCTTACACCCCCACTCACGAGCCATCCTTTCTGCCTCGCAGGGCTGGAGTCTGGATTTTGCACCATCCCTCGTGTCCCTCGCTTGGAAAAGCCCCAAGAAAGTGCCTTCCCTGGGGAAGCAGAGCTGAAGCGCTCAGACTCCCTGCTTTCCTTCCGCCTGGACTTGGGGCCCTCCCTGATGAGTGAGCTCCTCCAGGTGATGAGCTTCTCCGAAACCAACGGGAGTGAAGTGGGAGAGGATGGCCCAGACCTCCCATGTGGTGAGGGGACCAAGGATGGGGTCCCTCCAGCACTGGGTGCATCCCACGGAGAGGACAACACAATGTTCAGCTTCTGGGACCGCTCCGGGCAGAGCAGCCTGTCAGGGGCCAGCTCACTGCCAGGACTGTCAGTCCATGCCAACGGAGAAGCACACGCCATCGAGGGCACTGGAGAGGACCCTGCCTGGGCTTCAGGGCCGGTGGCAGCACCCAGAGGGACCCCATGGCAGGGGCACTGGAATGAGTGCACCATCGAGGCGGGAGAGTTTGACCGGGCGGCTCAGGTCCTGGCCCGCCATTATGGTGGGACCAGCACCCCGCGGAGCTCAGAGAAGAGTGAGGGTCCCCGGCAGGCCCGGACGCAGACCCTGTGGGAGAGCCCCAGCAGCAGCTTGTGGCGGTCGCAAGTGACAGGGGAGAGCCAGTCCCCCGAGGCCACCTGGAACCAAGAAGAGGAGGAGGAGGAGGAGGCCAAGCTTTCCAGCCTGCAGGAGGGGTATGCTGGTGCCCGGGGGGGCCGCAGCAATTCCTTTGAGTATGCCGAGGAGGAGGAGGAGGAGGATGATGAAGTCAAGGTGTGAATACACACCCCTCCCATCACGGCCCCCTGCCAGAGGCACTGGTGCCAGGGTCTTCACTCTCCTCCCCATCCCTCACCCTCAGGCGCCAGCATCACCGGCAGACCCAGCGGGCAACCTCCTTGCCAGGCTGGGGGCACTGGGGAGACTGGAGGAGGGCAGGAGGAGAGCCCATCTCCTGGGGCCTCCCTGGGACTGGGCCAGGCTGCTGCAGAGGGCCGGTGAGGGCTGCACATTGCAGCGCCGGACATCACGGCCCTTTCCCAGCCTCACTGCCGTTAGATGCCAAATGGACATTCCCATGTGCCAAAGAAACCCCAAACCTCTTCCTATGTCATCCTGTTCCCCCTCAGCACCCTCTCTCCCATCCCTCAGCTTGGCCCTGCCAGCATGTCTGGGGACGTGCCCCATCCTCCCACCAAAGTCCCCAGCTGCCCTCTGCACTGGCACAGGTTCCCTCTCAGAGACATTCCCAACGAAAGCTGTCACATAGCGGATGGAGGTCTCCCCGGCTCCAGCTGGTGCAAGACCCTCCCATATAGCACATCTGTCTATCAGGGGAGGTCAGCTGGGAGCTCAAGGGGCAGGCAAACCCCATAGAGCTGAGCTTTCTCTTTTCCTCTCCCCCCCAAAAAAAAGCCATGAGCTCAGCATTCAGGAGGTGAGAGCACACACAGAGACGATCACAGCGATCTTTCCACTTGCCTCCTGCCACTGAGCATCACTTAGGACGGCTCCTTTTCTGACCCCCACCCCCTTGCAGCAGGGAGAGGGGGAAATTTCACGGCTGGCTGGAGGCAGAGGCGAGGTTGTCAGGTCACCAAATTCTGCAGTTTGGGCCCTAAAACTCCCTTTCTTTCCCCCTGCCTCAGAACTAGGAGACTCCCGCTCTGCAGCCACTTGGTCCGTGCCACCTCTTCTCCATCCCCGCCTCCTCTCCCCATTCCCCAAGCACGCATCCCTCTTTCCAGCCTGCCCCTTCCCAGGGGTACATGTGGAGGACGGCTAATGCCCCTCACCAAGCAGCCCTGGGGCGCCGCGGCCTCCCTGGAACCAGCTGCCCCCCACGCTGCCCCGCGTGCAAACGGGCCCTCACAGAAGCGCCTTTGTGCCACGGCATGGAGCCGAGATGCTCGGGGGCTGAGGTCACCGGAGGTACCCTCACAGGACCCCTCCTTGTTCTCCGGGACAGAAGGGGGTGTGCGGCGGGGGGGAGATGCCGGGCCATGGCCGCAGGGCTCCAGGCTCCCACGCAGCTCACCCGCTGCCCGGCTGCTTCTGGCAGGGAGCTCCTCAGAGCAGAATAAAGAGGCTCCGGCGTGCACGTGTGTCGTACTTGGGAGGGCCGCTCGCGGTCCGGCCATCATGGTTACGGGCAAACCCGTCTCCCCCAGTCTTCCCGGGCAGCAGCAAGCTGGGGCAGGCAGCAGCTTCAAGGAGTCCCCAGCTCTGGCCACTGGCGCACAGCAGGATCAGCCTTATCACCCCTGCACCCTCCAGGGCAGGGACCCTGGCTCTCAGGATGAGCTCCCCCTGCCCTCTGCTTCCCAGACCGTAATACAAGCTCCAGACCAAAGACCCACGTCCGTGGAATATCCTTTCTGCCTCCACTCTGTATCCCACGCACCTATTATTGTCCTTATTAAAACAGTTTTGATACTAACTTCTCCTCTGGTGCCTCCCCTCAGCTGCAGCAATCTTACTGTGTTCCTTGCTATGTCTGCCGGTGGCCCAGCCACGAAATCCCATCCTCTTCACTCTCAGCAGGATTTTCCAGCTGGATCCTCTGGAATCCCTGGATTAACTAGCCTGGTACTTTGCCACTCACCGTGGCTTACACACAAAGCAACCACCTCCTGTCCACCCAGCCCCGCGTAGCACGCAGGAGGGTGTAAATCTTCCTCTCCAGCCCAGCAACAATTCATTTGCAGCCTGAGGCAGATCAGTACCCTTCCCCAAAGCTGCCTTGGCTACAGCCCCTCCAGCCCATCAGATACCCTCTGCCTGTGCGCTCAGGCAGCAGCAAGTGCCATGGGTTGAGCAGCGAGGAAGTGGAGGGGAAGGGCAAGGGCACTGCCACCTTGCCTTTGACCAGGCTCTCTGTAAGATGCTCTTCTACTTCGCTCTCCTCCTACCCGGCCTAAAGTGCCCCGATGTTTGCCGTCACACGTCAGTCTCACTTAAGGCTAGCAAGACACTTTAATTAGAGCAGCAGCATCTGATAATCAGCACTAATTGCCTGTAGTCCCATGCAAGGGACGCAGACTGGGAGGTGCCGAGCCACATAACCCAGCCCAAACCCCTCCCTCCCTCCCCACTGCCTTCCCCTGCCTCACTTTCCTGAGAAGGGATCGGTGTGGAAATGTCAGAGTAATGGGTAACCTGGCTGGAATGTGCCAGCAGATAAGTGAGGTGAGATAAGAGGGAAAGTCGAAGGAGACAACTCCTTATCGATGGCA